AAAAAAATGGTTTTAGAGATGATCAACTTAGATAAAAATAAAACAAGATCAACTTAGTTAAACAAATATATGATATTAAACTACCACTTTATAAATATCTCATATTTTAATAACCTTACATTGACATGTACTACAACCTATAATGGTATCACAACAATTAATGAAACTATATTTTAGTGGATGAAAGCACACCCTCCAACATATCATGAGAATATAAAATGAGAATCAAACCCTAAATAACTTTAAATATCCTCTGAGCTAACATATTTTTAATACAAATGTTTACATTATCGATTTAAAGATAATTTTTGACTATTTTTTTCTAATTAAATGAATTAAAAATTTAAAATTATAAACTTTAGTAACAATTAATTATCAAATATCAATTATCAACTATTAGCTTCATCTAAATTATTAAAACAAACATCTCTATACACTACTACAAATAAGTGAGTAAAACATGATATTCGATCATTCACAAGTTGTACAAACTATAAACTTTAATAACAATCAATCAACAAACATTAATTAACAACTACTAACTTAATTTAAATTATTAATATAAATGTCTTCATACACTATTGCATATAGATGAGTAAAATGTGATAGTTAGTCATTCACTAAGTTATAAACATTGAAATTTAATGATAGTAAGTTATCATATATTAATTATTAACGAGATTCTACACATGCAAAAACATCATCTTTCCAAAAATTTTTAATTAAGGGTACCACTTGAAAAAAAAAAAACTAATCCAAATTATTTCTTTTTAAAAATGTCTAATTAAAGATATTACCTTTCACTTTTACTATTTAAAAATTAATTAAATGTCAATACTGAGTTGACAAACGAATTCTATTTATGGAACTCACCTAAATTATTAACGTGTGATAAAAAATGAAAAATAGATGCTAACTTAGAGTTATTTAGACAATGTAACAGAAATATTAACACCACAATATATGTATTGACACCTTATCTGTCAAATTTCACTAAGCATGAG